CAACCCAGGCAGACAGTACAGATAATTTAATTGGCAAGCCCTATATTTAACCCCATAACTTTCCAAAACACCCTAAAACCTTTACATGGGTAGTATTGTTATACTTGGGAGACTTTGCTGAACACAAATACGAGTGTTTTAAAAAGTAAAACATATCACGAGGATGAAATGACCAGTAAAAGTGCAGTTTTTGTGTAAAAAAAAAATGTTAAAAAACTAATATAAGCCCTAATTTTGGCCAGGGTTTGTGACTAAGTGGCTGTCAGGGTTACAGTATTATCCAGCACGTAGAATTGTGTAACACAGAGGACTGATGGGTAACTTATATCGTATAGTCAGGAATAGCCGAGGTCAAGGGATACAGAAAGAGACACAACTATAAGGAAAAGCCAGGGGTCAGGGGTGCCAGAAAACAGGGAAGTCAAAATCAATGCCAAAGTCAAAATACCAGAAAAAACTGAATCAATAACGCACTCTCGGACAACCACAAGGGAAACCACGCCAAGGCACTGAGCAAGAGGAGAACTGGGCCTAAATACCCCGCCTGTGGATCTGATTGGCTGTAACCGGCCTTTGACCCCAAAGGCAGTTACCAGGTTCCCATTTGTATGATTCCCATTTGTTTGATACAAACCGTCCTGTGGATTAGATTGCTGCTCGGCACAACTTTTCCTGTCAGGACAGTAAATACCATTAACCAAATTTTTATGTGCAGATAAATACGTGACAGTGGCTACTAAAAAAGACTGAACATACCCCATTTTGAATACCATGGGTTGTCTACTTTTACAATTGGTATGCCATGATGGGGTTAATTTTCATTCCTGTGCTGACCCAGCAAACCAATCTGGAAAATCTGGAAACCAATCTGGAAAATTCCAATGTGCAAACATGGAAAAGGGGAGAGCTCTACATTTGACCCCTGTAAGTTTGCAAAAATCCATAAAACCTGTATATTGGGGTCACTGTTGTACTCAGAAATGTTGCCGAACACATATTGGGGTGTTCTTTGTCAGAAACACATAACAGGAACTGGGAATCCATGCCTAAAGTACAATGTGAGAGAAAAATAACACAAAAATTACTACACAAAAGTTTGACAAAGACTGGTGGTAGAAGTGCATGGAAAGTGTTAAAATATCACTTTTGAAATACCCTAGCTTGTCTACATTTCTAAAATATATAATTTGATTGGGGTAAATTACATTGGCCAGCTTCAAAAGTACCCCAAATAGGACATGGGTGCATGATGACCAGCTGTGAAAATTCCAAGTTGGAATATGTGTGGGTACAGTAAATAAGTAAGAGGAAAATTACAGCTAAACACCAACCCCGCAGAAATGTAAAAACAGCCATGTTCCTTAACGGAAAGGAAATTGAAAAACGGTCTGGTCACTATGGGGTTAAAGTAGAAAATAGAGAAAATAGAGTTGTCATTAATGGTGCATGTTCAAGCTTGACAAAAGTAGTATATGGTGTCCCTCAGGATTCAGTTCTGGGACCACTTCTATCAGCATATTTATAAATTATCTGGAAATAGGAAGTCATGTTTTAGTGTTTGCAGATAACAAAGGTAAGGTAATAGAATGAGAGCAGGATATTACTTAGCTGCAGAGAGATCTAGATAAAGAGATGACAAATAGAAAGATCGATAGGTTAAATTTGATGTGCAAGCAATTTATATTATATATGGTAGTGACTTAGGGATAACAACACAAGAAAATAAATTGAGAATTGTTATAGAGAACAAGCAAGGCGACAATGTGCAAAGTCAATCAGCAGTTGCTAAGGCCAATAAGGTACTGTAAAGCATAAAACAGGCATTATTTCTTTGGATGAAAATGTTTCCTCTTCATAAATCAATGGTAAGACCACATCTTAAATATATGCTTAATACTGGGCACCCATTCTAAAGAAAGATGTTATGACGCTTAACATGCAGAGGCAGGCAACAAAATTAATAAAGGGAATAGCAGTTTTTAGTTGCGAACAAAGGCTAACAATTTTACATCTGTTTTGTTTTGCCAAACGGTGACTCTGGGAATTTGATAGCATTATACAAAAATATACAGGGCCAATACAGATCATTGCCTGGAAATGTATTCATAAACAGGATTATACATAGGACATGAGGTCACCCATTTAGACTGAAAGAAATAAGATTTATTAAAAAAAATGCAAAGGAAAGGGTTTTTTTACATAAAAAAAACAATAAGGATGTGGAATTCTCTGACTGAAGAGGTGGTTTTATCAGAGTCTTGACAGATGTTGCAACAGCAACTGGATGAATACTTGGAAAAAACATAATTCAGGGATATAATTTTTAAATATGTGGGGTGACAGCTTCTTGATCTATGAGGAGATCTGACAGGGGTCGAGAAGGAAGCATTTACTATTTTTTTGCAAAATTGGAAAGTCGTTTAGTTTTGTGCCTTCTTATAGATCAACAGCAAAACAGATGTGAGAAAGGCTGAACTTGATGGACGCAAGTCTCTTTTTAGCCTATGTTACTATGTAATCCTGAAGTGGTCATTTTTGGTAGTTTCAAATACATATTTATTTATAGTTGACATTTTAAAATTGTACCGGATGTCCATTCTTTGGACATATGGTAAGTAGTACTTACCTAAATCAATCCATCGTAGACAATGACATTGGTTTTATTATACAAAATTAAACCAGGAAGAAAGGGACAAACGAGGGTGGATAATATACACAAAACTTTATTTTATAATTTTCATTGACATCTTGCCAAACGCAACATAATAGATACTGTCATTGTTTATTAACTAATACTTACAAACATTTTTACACTACTTGTCTCTGATAAATGCCTTGTCATTTCTGCTACTACTCTGTTTCCCTGAAAATAAGACGTCCCTTGAAAATAAGCCCCAGCTTATTTTCAGGGGATGCTTGTAATATATGCCCTACCCTGAAAATAAGCTCTAGTCACTAGTTCACTAATCTATGTTTGGGAAATTTTCCCCAAACATAGATTAGTTGGATTCCATTCTCGAGTAAGCTAACCTATGTTCGGGAAAGTTTCCTCCCAACATAGATTCACAGAATTCCTTGCCCTAGTGAACTAGTCTATGTTCGGGGAATTCCCCCAAACGTAGACCTGGTTTCTAGCACATGCTTGCTTCCGTTTTTCCCGAAATAATACATCCCCTGAAAATAAGCCCTAGTGCATTTTTCGGGGGAAAAATTAAAATAAGACCCGGTCTTATTTTTGGGGAAAGACGGTACTTGCTGCTAGTGCCAAACAACACAATTTCCTACTTTGTAACATGCACTGCTAATTGGCATAATTCTCTTGAAGTAGTACGGACACCAGCTTTTCAAAGAAGAAGTGTGCTCCTGTTGTCAAGAGATTGCTGTAGTATCATATCTATTATTCCTGATTCTATTTTGGTGTGATCTAGGCTGACCAGGCCAGTGTTACAGTTAAATGAGAGCATTGACCTTAAGGATCATCGCTTTAATAATCTGGTCTCCAAAAGGTAGCTCTATAAATTTTATTTACCTGATGAACACTGTTATCATAACTAATAATTATTAACTTCTCTACACTCCCCCTTCTCTCATTTCATGCCTTGCACTTATTTTTCTACTCTCTCACTCCTACACACAATCGATCTCATCCTAGACCCCATGCATAGAAAACCCATTCACACCTCCTGTAAATTTCTCTCCTCCTGCTTCAAGCAGCTGGTGATGTCTCTCCCAATCCAGGGCCCACTCACCTTCTCTACAGACACTAAGAAAACCAGAAACCCCACAAACCTCATCACAATATGTGGCGAAACCAGCCTCGCCACGTGTCCTTGGAGGGGGCTGCTTGCCCGCCTCTTGCCTTTGGACTATGGACCAGACTTTATGTGAATGTGTTAACCCAGATAGCTATGCCATGGAGCCCATTCGTGTAGTTAAAGACTTCGGCTCCATGGCAATTGAACTGTGTGAATAGGATCTGAGCGCTATTCGGTAGTTTTGTGCGCTCAGATGCCAGCTATCTGGGGATATGTGAAATGTCTGTGTCTTATGTGTAAAAAGTGACTTTATGTATTTTAAAGTGTTTTGTGTCTTTTTGCAACCATGTGCTTAATGGAGTCTTGTGTCTGTCCTGGGAGATAATAGAATTACTCTCAATTATCTCCAGGATAGAAGACTCTGAAACTGGTTTGGGCCGGAAAGCCATGCTTCATTTAGTCACAAAGGACTTTCCCTTAACTTTTGAACCCCTGTTCTGATTCGTGCAATTTTTTTATATGTTGTTCCCCTGAATGGATTGATTATGAAAATTTATGTTTTATGTTTATGACATGTATATTTTAGAAGTTATAAATATTGTGTAAAAACTGTATTCCTCTGCCGGTGATAATGAGATTACCCATTGTGTTCAGTAATCATATCACATGCAGAGGGGAGGATTTTGTGTGGGAGTGTCTGGGTGTATTGTACGGATTGATTGGTTGTTTTGTAACGCCCTGTGGGCTGTACTATGTTTGTGGATTGGGAATAAAAGAGACTGTATGTGACAGTACAGGGAGTTCCTGTTTTAACCCTCAAAGTGAAGTGTCGTCTCATTATTGGGGGAAGGATTTATTGTATGCTGTTCCAGTTTGACTGCTAGGAGAGTAAACCTATTCGTATGGTTCCTATTCAACTGTCTACAGCATTCATATGCTTGGGAGAATTTATTTGTTTCTCCGGTTCAGTGATTGTGGTGTCTGCCAGAGTGCTTGGAGTCCTCAGGAAGCACTAGGAGCATCCTTCAACGGAGGTACCCAGTCGGGGTGCCAGGTGATCCGTTACACAATACCCTTCCCTTTGCTCTCACTTACCAACATTCAATTTGCACTCTGGAACGCCTGCTCCGTCTGCAGTAATTTAAAATCAACAGCCATACACGACTTTTTCATCTCAAATTCACTCACACTACTTGCACTTACAGAGACCTGGCTGCTACTCCTGCCTCTTTATGTTTTGGTGGGCTACAATTCTCTCACACTTCCAGACTCAATGTACCTTTCAACCAATCATAACTCCCTCTGCCCTATCCTTTTCTTCTTTTGAAGTTCACACTGTCCGCCTATTTAAACCCACTTCTTTAAGAATTACTATCCTCTACCGTCCCCCCGGTCATCTGAGGCTATTCATTGAGCACTTTTCTTCCTGGTTTCCCCACTTCCTCTCAGCTAGCACTCCTTCACTTATATTTGGGGATTTCAACATCCCAATCAACAACTCCAACTGCACTGATGCCTCTCATCTGCTCTTTGTAACCTCCTCCTTGTCTGGATTACAGTATGATCCAGCACGTAGAATTGTGTAACACAGGTAACGTATACCGGACCTTAGAATGGCTGGACTAACGTACCAAAGAATAGTCAGGAATAGCCGAGGTCAAGGGAAACAGAAAGAGACACAACAATAAGGAAAATCTAGGAGTCAGGGATGCCAGAAAACAGGGAAGTCAAAAACAATGCCAAAGTCAAATAACTAGAATACCAGAATAAATAACGCGCTCTCGGACAACCACAAGGCAAACCACGACAGGGCACTGAGCAGGATGAGAACTGGGCCTAAATACCCTTCCTCTAGATCTGATAGGCTGTAACTGGCCTTTGACCCCAAAGCAGTTACCAGGTTTTGCCATTTGCATAACTGCTGCTCAGCATTATCCCTTCTGTGGATTTGGTTGCTGCTCGGCACAACTTTTCCTGTGTGGACAGTAAATGTCATTAACCACATTTTTATAAGCGGATGAATACGTGACACTCCTATGGCCTTACGCAATGGTCCAATTTAGCAACCCATCCAGCGGGAAACACTCTTGATCTCGCCTTCACCAATCACTGTACCACCTTTAATCTCTCCAATATTCCTTTTCCTCTATCTGACCACTATCTGCTGACTTGTGACATCGGCATATCCAAGACCCAATTGATACCATCGTCTGAACATCAATCTCACAGAAACCTCCAATGTCTTGACCTAGAGCATTTCTCCACTAATCTCCAAACTCTCCTTTTACCTATCTCAAACTTCTCCTGTCCTAGCTCTGCAACCTCCTTCTACAATTCCACCCTCTCCTCTCAACTAGACATCATGGCACCTTCTACATTTAAATGCAGCAAGTGCACCCAACAACAACCTTGGCACATCAAGCCGACTCGATACCTCCAAAAATGCTCCAAAACTGCTGAGTGCTGTTGGTGAAAGTCTCACTGTGCATCTGACTATCCCCACTATAAATTTATGCTGCGTTCATACAGCTCGGCAAAAGTAAATTACTTCAATATAGAACCAGGAAAACAAGTTTGTTTTCCTGGCACTATAGTGGTCCTTTAACGCCAGATGCGACTAAGGTTCTGGTACATTCCACTGTCGTTTCTCGCCTTGACTACTGTAATCCACTTCTCAGTGGTTTTAAATGCTCTCAACTTGTGCGGTTACAGTCCATAACGAATGCAGTGGCGAGGCTAATCTTCCTGTCCGCCCGCACCTCCCATAGCTCACTCTTCTGTCAGTCACTACATTGGCTTCCTGTAAGATATGGGGTTCAATTTAAAATTCTGGCTCTTGCTTTCAAATCGCTACATAATACACAAGTATGTCCCGTCTAGGCCCTTACGCTCTGCTGAAGTCTATCTTCTGTCCGTACTCCCACCTTTGATGCTCGCCTTCAAGACTTCTCAAGTCTGCACCGTTCCTGTGGAACTCACTTCCCTCCTCAGTTAGATGCTCACCCAGTCTCCACTCCTTCAAAAAAATCATTAAAAACCCACTTCTTCATAAAAGCATATCAATTAAACTGTAAATAGCTCCAGACTGATTCCTCTCTTGCAACTGTCATTAGTCAGATACTATCCTTACCTTTTGTGTCACTTTACCCCACTCCCTCTAGCATGTAAGCTCATTGAGCAGGGCCCTCAAACCCTCTGTTCCTGTGTGTCCAACTTGTATGGTTACAACTACATGTTTGTTCATCCACCCACTGTAAAGCGCTGCGGTATTTCTTTGCACTACATAAATAATAACATAATAACAATAATAATTAATTTGTTTCTTTAGTCGTTCAAGATATACTAGATTCACAAGGTAAACATACATTTTTTTTTTCCAATGTGTTTTATTTAGGCTTATTTTAGATCGTTCGTATAGAAACAGAATACAAAACAAGGCAGGGGGTACAGAAGGAAAGAGGGGACGGGGGAGGCAGCTTGCTTAGGTTACAACAATCTTTACATATGTGTTGGTACAAACTGTGTTATCAAGTTAATATAGAAGAGACAGTTGACAGTTTGATCATTGTGTTACATAACGTTGATAGTTAGACAAGTAAGCATCTTGGTGCCACATAGTGTGCTTGATCACTTAACGCAAGAAGCAGGGGGGGAAAGCCCTGGGGAATAATGCATGGCCTATAGCCCCTGTTGAGGCAATCCCTTTCTATAGTCCACCCAACTCTGCCACCGTGTCTTATGTCTACTTTGACTATCGTTTAGTCGGCTATCCATACGTTCGTATGCGTGAGTTGAGTCTATCCTGCCTAGGATTTCTGGCAATGTTGGTGTCAGTGGGGACTTCCTTCTGTGCGCAATGTGGCCATTAAACAGTGAATCGTTAAGAAGATCTTATCTTCAGGGAGGGTATCTGGGAAGATATGTAATAGAAAGCACTCTGGTGTCTGAGGTACCTTTACTCCCAGAATTTTATGAAGAAGTGCATGTATATCCCGCCAAAGCGTGGTGATTTGTGTGCATGTCCAGAATATATAATAGAGGGACCCCTCGTAGTTGTGGCATCTCCAGCATTGTTTGTCAGACCCCGGGTAGATATGAGCCAGTTTAGTGGGGACTAGGTACGAGCGCATCATTAATTTACAGAATGTTTCCCAATGGTTAAGACTGTGGGAAGCCTGTTTAGTTGTCTTTTGAGCGTGGTGCCATGTTGCTATCGGGAATTGCTTTCCTAGCTCTGATTCCCATTTAGTCATATACGCTGGTTTTGTTAGCTTATTCTGAAGTAAGAGTGTGTTGTAGCATAGAGACAATGCTTTAGTTTTTGGTAGTTTACCCATGCATTTGTGGATAAATGGTGGTAAGAGATTAGGTTCCCTTAGGCGAATCCCGCATTCCTGAATAATATTTTTTATTCTAAGATAAGAGAATAGTTCTCGTGAAGATATATGATATTCCCTGATTAAGTCTGGGAAAGGCTTGATGCCGTCTGGGGTCAGTAAGGAGCGAACTTGGTAGATCCCTTGCTTGGGCCAGTTATCTAGTTGTATGTCTGACGTTCGCGCAGCCAGGGCCAGAAGTGGGGCTGCAAGGAGCAGGTCATTGTCTTGTAGGAATAGTGGGGTAGTTTGCTTCCAAGTTTAGAGAAGCGAGACCGTGGTAGGTAGCAAGGATTTGGATTTGGGGAGTTTTGACCCTGCCCAAAGGGTCAGAGGAATTGAGCCATTGGGTATGCAAGCGTTCTCCAACGCCAGCCATACCGGAGGAGAAGGTCGCTCAAGGATCGTGAGGCCCTGTGCCAGCAGTGACGCTTTGTAGTATAGATTTATATTAGGTACGCCTAGCCCCCCTTTTATAAACGGGCACCAGAGGGATTTTTGCGCTATTCTAGGGGGTTTGGGATTGTAATGGGTAGGGTAAGTATAAGATATGTGGTAGAATCATCATTTTTATGGTGTGGATTCGCCCCAACCAGGAAATCTCTTTATCCTCCCAGGACTTAAGTTGTTGTTCTAGTCTGTGGATGAGTGGTAAATGGTTTTCCTGTGTGATTGCTGAGTGCTTTGCTGGCAATTTTATACCCAAATAGGAGATGGAGGAGTTCCGCCACTCGAATGGGTACAGTGTTTTTAGGAGTGTTAGGGAGGTATGTGGCAGCCCTATCGCCATCACTTGTGTCTTTTTGGCGTTGTTTTTATAGAATGACAACTTTCTGTAATTCCCTAAAAGAGCTAGCAAATTTGGTAAAGATTTCTCCGGGCGTGTTAAGAACAGAAGAACGTCGTCTGCGAAGAGGGCAATTTTTTGAACTCCTATAGGTGTAGCTAGGCCTTCAATATTTTTGTCATTTTTTATGTGTCTAATTAGGGGTTCCATACATATTATACAGATTAATGGGGAGAGGGGACATCCCTGCCTGGATCTGTTTGTTATTTGAAAGGGTTGTGATAAAAACCCGGAGTTAAATATTCTGGCTGCTGGTTTGGAGTAAAGGGCCTTTATGCCTTTCAGGAATTCTGAGGGGATGCCTATGGATGTCAAAACAGCCCTCATGTAAGTCCAGTTTAGGCGATCAAACGCTTTTTCCGCATCTAGGGCTAACAATACGCCACTTTGGTTAGTTTTCTGAGCCCATGAGGTTAGGTTCAGAAAGTGTCGCATATTGTCCCCGGCTGTCTGTTCGGGACAAAACCTGCCTGTTCTGGAGAGACCAAATCATGCAGGAAGGGCTGAAGGCGAGTAGCTAGTAATTTGGCGTAAAGTTTTGTGTCTGCATTCAGCAGTGAGATGGGCCTCAGGTGGGAGGTTTGCCGGGCTTGGGGAGTGTAACGATATGGGCTAGCAACATCTCCTCCAGCATGGTTTCTGAGTCCCTAAAGAAGTTAAAAAGGTCTGTGAGGTGTGGTGTGAGCTGTGCCTCGAATGTAGAGTAAAAGTGGTTAGAGAACCCATCCGGGCCAGGGCCTTATGTTTGGGTAATTTTTGTATTGCGTTTCGTACTTCGTCTTCTGTGAATTTAGCCGACAGGGTTGCGCTTTGTTGTGCAGTCAGGCGAGGCAGTGTCGCCTCTTTCAGAAAAGTGTCTATGTCCTACTCTAGTGGCTGATGTAGTGTTTTGTCCTGTGTAAGGTTATATAGACCCATGTAAAAATTCGCCAATTCGTTCACTATGTCTTGTGGGTTAAATAGTTTTGACCCAGTGGTTGATGTCATATATGGGAGTTTGGACTGTATGCATCGGGATTTTAGACGCTTTGCGAGCAGTTTGCCTGCCTTGTTCCCTTGCATGTAGTAGGAGAGTTTCAGCTTGCGAAGCTGCCGTTCCATGCCTATCAGGGACAATTCATGTAGCCTTTCTCTTAACTTTTCAATTTGTTGGGATAGGGTTTTAGTTGGTTTTAGTTTGTTGTCTCGGTCTAGTGTTTTGAGTTGAGAGAGCAGTTTATCAGGTGAACATACATTTTAAC